GGGACTGGCGCCGGGGACAGACGCTGCTGGGAGAAATTGTGGGGTATAAATGGGACAAATGAAATGAGAGGTGAGCTGCAGAAGGACGTTTTATCCATCTCGGTCTCAGCAAACAATCTGCCTCCTGTACAGGCTGGAGGTGAAAAAGGCCAAACAGCTCTGAACACAGGGTGTCTTATCACCGCCTTTCCTCCATCTCCTCATCCTATGCAGAGCGAGCAACTCCGGATTTTGTGGACTGGAGTAGCTAATGGCTTCAGGGCGTTCTCCAAGTTCAAAAGTTCACCTTTTACGATCTCCCCGAGCCTGACTGGCCACCTCCAAATAAAAACATTCCGACCTCTGTTCCCAGTGAGCCCGCTCCGGCCCCTCATGCAAACACACACTGATTAACACTTAAATCATCATTCCCATTAGTACAAATCAAAGAAATAAACCGTACTCCACCAGAATCCACTCTGTCACATACCTGCGGCCCAGTCTCTCATCTACATTTCACCTCAGCACAGGTAAATACAGATCAGCTGTTTCTCTGTTCTGTGTGAGTGTCCAGCAGCAGGTATGTAGCCTACTGTGGAGGTGCTCTGGGCTGCAGTGACTGGAGACAAACGCTCGTGCAGCAGTAGTGGATGTACCGTATATGATCCAATCACTGTCAACATTAACCAGCAGATATGTGTGTGTGTGTGTGTGTGTGTGTGTGTGTGTGTGTGTGTGTGGTATGTGTGTGTGTGTGTGTGTGTGTGTGTGCGTGTGTGTGTGTGTGTGCGTGTGTGTGTGTGTGTGTGTGTGTGTGTGTGTGTGTGTCCGTGTGTGTGTGTGTTTGCTTACCGTTTCCGGACTTGGCGTTATTTCTCTCCGGGTAGTCGAACCCATTCGTCCTCTTCTCTATCTCCATCCTCCTGCATGGGCTGATCCCGAGTCAGCCCGACGTCGCCTCTCACCACCACGAAAAACCTGCACGCCGGTGATGAAGGTGAGGTGACAGTGATGATGGTGATGATGATAGTGCAGTCTGAGGTGAATCGAGCTGTAGCGCTGCTTTGTCCCCGTATTCAGCCTGGCTGGTTCACTGCTCCGATCGCCGTCCCATGCTTTAACCTGCTTCCAGTCAGCGGGGAGTAACTGGATCCACACCCCCAGGGGTGGTGCGTTCAAGGCCTGTGAAGACGGTGGAGGATAGTGCCTGTTACAGAACCTGAATAATGCTAAAATGTTCAAACTTTTCAAAGAAGAAATTACACAGTCATCCTCTTATATATGAAATTAACTAAATGATTATCCTGGTCTATGTACGGTGTCATCAAAATAAAATAAATAAAAAACACTGAAGCAATATCTAATAACTTTGTTAATGATTCAGAATAGATAATAATGGTGTTGTTTGAGGAAGGCCCACTCGTTTTGTCGGATGTGATGAATTAGTTATTTTATGTTTTAAATTGATATTACATCAACTTACCTGAAAAACTCTTGTCTTGTTTTCCTCCAAGTAAAATGACTCTGGTGCTATTCAAAGATTAGCAAGGCTGCTACCATCCAAGACAAAAGCTGAAATCTGTTGTTTGAAGAAGGGCCACACCCACTGTATGATGTGATAAATTAGTTTTCCGTAAGGCTTACGAAAGTGTAAATGTCTTGTGAATGTGAATCTGTTGTTTAACTACTTACACATGTGTTAATCAACAGAGGAGAATTCAACATATCCTCATACTGCCTCAATGTAAGTGTATAAAAATAAAAAAGATTTATATATTTTGAATCTAAATCAGCAGTTAAATCTAATTTTATGTTAATTAGCCTGCTCCTCGTGACATGATGTCGTCTTATAATATCACGTTCGGTTACTCCCACAGCACCTGAAGGTAGCACAAACACACAACAAAGATTACGCAGCGTCATTCCGGAGGCATTGTGGGATGTGTAGTCTTCGTACCCTCAACCTGGGCTGCGTTCTGAATCTCAACAACAGCGTTTTACCACAGGAATAAGCTAACGAATACTAAGACGCTCGTGCTAGGCATTAGCTCATGGTAAGTGTAAGTTAGCATTTGGCTAGTAGCAGTACACGTTCCGCGTTTGCAGCAGGTTTCATTGGTAGTTAAGAGAAGATCCTTCATTAGGAGACAGGTGGGTGTTTGCTGCCCTCTGGTGGCCATACTGTGACAATGTGTGTGATGCTTCCACTTTGTTAGCCTGAATCTAAACCTCACATGTTCTGTTGAAGATTTACCATGTGGAAATGTAATATATGACATACGTGCCTCTATATCAAGAGTGATGTTTCCATATATGTTCACTACAAGGGGATATATTAGAATCACATATATACATCCTCACATAAGAAAGTATCATATATATATATGATACTTTTTTATGTGATATTACATGTTGCAACCACATACAGTGGGATCCAGAAGTCTGAGATCACTTTCCTATCCACTGTATATTCACAAGTTATATTAATTTATATATGCAAGTTTATTAAAACATACATACAAAACATTCTACATGCTTATATATGTTTTTCTTATTAATATTAAACATATGTTAATCTTTATCTTTACATACAGGCTTTGGGATGGATATTTATGTACGTTATGTCCACAAAAAAGCATTCATACGTAAATATGTATGTTTGCATTAGCTACACATATATGCATAAATAAAATCATTCCAATTTCTAATAGGTTATTTTTACATATATATTCTTACTTCATATGCACATATATTTAATATATGGAAATTCAATATATGTACATATATTACGTTTGCATATGTGTTTGTAGATAATTTGACCTCCAATAAATGCAAACACTGAAAATATTACGATCTACAGTTTACAGTCTTAAAGGTATTTAATGTTGTTTCGATTCCCATATTTCGGGGATTTGACAGTAGTGTTGACCTCGTGTGTTGGATAGTTTATTTAATTTCAAAATAGTTTAAAAATGTCCAACCCATTCAAAAAGAACTACATTTTAAAAGTATATAATTGTAATGGTATGTCAGATATAGTGCTGCTAATTATATGTATTCATATGAAAGTAGACTCTGAAGACTGATGAATCATCTGATGGAGTATACCAGTGACACATTTTGATTTCTTTCTGGACACACCAGGAACCGTAACCAGGAACTGCAGTGGCCCCAAACACTCCAGGCTGACTGTCTGTCAGCCAGTCTGAGCTAATTTCATTGAAAATAATATGTTTGACGAAAAGCTCCACTGAAGCACAATATCAGCTGATTAATACATACTGTACAGCCGGGTGTTGCTTAATTTCCTGATCTTGAAGCCCAGTCCCTTGTTGAAAGTACCTGTGTCAAACCCATAATTTGTGTCCAGTCTCTGAAAAACACTGAGACATCTCATAACTGATTCAACCGCTCTAGGACAGAGCTGCAAGGTAATAGCTGACCAGCAGATGGCGCCAAAGGCCCTTCAGATTTCTGCAAGTGGACTGTCTTCCTGAAAAGATGTAACTATACAAACAGTGACAATATTGTGCACTCAGCTAAAAGTGTTAATAGATGAATAAATAATAGGGTAAACTGGGGTGGGATGCCCCCCTTAAGAATGATGTCCATTTTCTTCTAAAATGTATGTCTATGTATTTTAAATTTCAATATAATAAGAAGAGAAGTTTGCCTCCGTGAACACTTCTAGAGGGTAATTAAATCATAACAGACTTTATTATTATAAAACTAAATATGAAATCTTTTAAAAGGGGCATCCTACCACATGTAAAACTCTGGTGCTATTCAACGATTAGCAAGGCTGCTACCATCCAACAGCTGAAATCTGTTGTTTGAAGAAGGGCCACACTTTCTGTAGGATGTGATGAATAAGTTTTTCGTAAGGCCTACGAAAGTGTAAATGTCTTAATGTGAATCTGTTGTTTAACTACTTACACGTGTTAATCAACACAGGAGAATTCAACACGTCTTCAGACTGCCTCAATGTAAGTGTATAAAAAAAGAAAAAGATTGATATATTTTGAATCTAAATCAGCAGTTAAATCTTATTTCATGTTAATTAACCTGCTCCTCGTGACATGATGTCGTCTTATATTATCACGTTCGGTTATTCCCACAACACCTTGCCACAAATACACAACAAAGATTACGCAACGTCATTCCGGAGGCATTGTGGGATGTGTAGTCTTCGTAACCTCAACCTGGGGTCCGTTCTGAATCTCGATAGCAGCGTTTTACTACAGGGATACGCCAACGAAGGCTAACTCGTACTAGTGTTAGCATTAGCTCATGGTAAGTGCAAGCTAGAATTTATTTGGCAGTACACGTTCCGCGGCAGGAGCAGCAGGTTTCATTCGTAGTTAAGAGAAGATCCTTCATTAGGAGCCTAGACTGAATATAGAAAGGAGACAGGTGGGTGTGTACTGCCCTCTGGTGGTCATACTGTTATAATGTGTGTGATGCTTCAACTTTGTTAGCCTGAAGCTAAACCTCACATGTTCTCTGTTGAAGATTTACCATATGGAAATGTAATATATGACGTACGTGCCCCTATATCAAGAGTGATGTTGATATAGGGACACATATAGGGACATATATTAGAACCACCTATATGGACATTCGACATCCTATAAACATCTATTATTATTATCAATTCCATTATTATTATTAATATTGGTAACTTGTACAAACCAGACTGTGTGTGTGTGTGTGTGTGTGTGTGTGTGTCTGTGTCTGTGTGTGTGTGTGTGTGTTTGTAAACCCCTCCCCTCAGTGGAGGACAGCGGGTGACACGGTGCGCAGCTGTGGGCCGGGCTGAGAGCGCGGGTGTAAACAGGGAGCACACACATTCACTCACACACACCACATCCATCCATACAGGCAGACGGACACACACTGTATGATCCTCCATGCGCGCAGCGGAAATGAAGTTAATGTAGGCGCTCTCCTCTCCCATATGGACTGAACAGTGATCGCAGCTTTTGGATTTCTTATATCTACTTCCCCGCTCCAGAGATAAAATGTGGAGATACACGAACTTATTTGCCTGTCTGCTGGTTCTGTGCAAGGATGCGTCCTCTCAGAGCAAGGTAGGACCAGAGACCTGCGGGTTCAGACCAGTAGCCCTCTCCAGGAGCTTTATGCATGACTGCATCGTATTCACCTACTGTATTTACGCGGCTGGTGCATGTAAAATCAGACCCTGTACAGTTCAGTTCAGTCCTGCTCAGCTCAGCCTCACCTGAGTGAGTTGACCAGTAGCGCGCCTTTCCCCAGTCACACCTGTACATTTCCTGTCTAAAGGCAGCAGACGGTTCAGGCGTGTGTCATTCTGTATGAGTCCAGCTAATCCTCCCAATGAGGGCTTCTGTTGACGTGAGTAACAACAGGTTGTGTAATGATAGGTGCAGTGTGTGTGTGTGTGTGTGTGTGTGTGTGTGTGTGTGTGTGTGTGTGTGTGTGTGTGTGTGTGTGTGTGTGTGCAGACATGATCCCAGCAGAGTGTGGGAGAGATGCCACTCAGTGGGGTAACAGTAATATGCCCTTGTTTGTGCAGCTGCTGGACTCCAGTAACCCCTCACTCTCCCTCAGCCTGCTCCACACACACACTGCCAGGAGATGAAACACATGTACAGTTCACATTATACATGAAGTCCAGAGTGTTGAGTGACTGCCAGAAACCATCTCTGGATACGATCAGGTCAAATCAGCAGCAGTGAATCAGTGAGGAGCAACAGCAGAGTTGCAGCAGTGATAGAGGCAGCATGTCAGGAGTAAGAAGGGTGTTTGTAGTGAGCTATGTGGCCAAAGGTATGTGGACACCCCTGAGCCTGGTTTGATCCTAATGCTGCAGCTTTAGACAGCAGTGTTCAACAGTTCAACAAGCTTCATAAAGAAATGGTTTTCCCAGTTTGGGGTGAACGAACTTGACTGGCATCACCTTTAGCCTCATCACCCAGCATCATTGCTGGACCTCCCATAATACTCTTTATGGCTGAATGGGAGCAAATCCCTGCAGCCAGTTTGTGTACACCTAGTTAATAGCAGCGAAAGAAGCACTGGGGTCAGGAGTAGTAGGAGTTGTATGTGAAGACTGGTTGTAAAAGTAGTAGCAGTATTGCTAGTAGTAGTTGTGACAGTGTCAGTAGCACCATAACATCAGTGGCAGCAATAATAAGTGTAGTGTTTTTATTACTATCAACAGCAGCAAGTTTATTTCTCCAGCACCTTCAGACACAATTGTGCTTTACAGAGACATGGACATTCATTAACAATGGAACATTAAGATGATATTAAACAGCATTTAAAATCATAAAAACATATTTAAATGAATACAAATAAAATATTTAAATACATAAAAGACATTAACAACAAACAAATGCACAAGATTAAAAAGGTGTTCTGTATGTGATTTATTGGTGATGTTTTACTCACTGATTTAACTGAGTGGGCAGTTTCAGCTGATCTCAGGTGTTCAGGTTGTTCCACAGGTGAGGAACAGAGAAACTAAAAGCTGCTTCACCTTGTTTGGTTCTGGTTCGGGTTCTGGGTACACTGAGTGATCCTGTCCCAGATCACCTGAGGTCTGGATGCTTCATATCATACAAGTAGAGCAGAGATGTGTTCAAACCAGAGACCAGTTAGAGCTTTATAGACCAGTAGTAGGGTTTTAAAGTCTGTCCTCTGGCATCACTGGGAGAACTGCTATCCGTGGTATATTATTATACTGGTGGTTTAAAAATTCAGCTGTGATGCACTGCTGTGTATAATGTTTACAGTTGTAAATCTAAGTCTAATTGTACCCTGACAAGAGACTGCAGAAATACACACTGTTTATTCTTGTCTAATTATAGTGTTATAAAGTTACAAATAAGTGACACAAAAAATTGTGATCAGTGTGGAATAGTGCTGTAATGATATGAATATCCAGTCACTAATTCATGTGAATTTACCAAAAGACATTTTTTAACTTTTTAAATTATTCAACAGAAGAGAAAAGTATTTGCACAAAATCTTTTGAACCTAAAATATGCAAATATTTAAAATAAAAAAACATGCATATGAATGTGCAGCATTACACATCAGTAACTTCAGGTCATACAGTTCATTCACCGTCTCTTTACATTAGCACACATCATGTCATGTCTCTCCTCACAGCACCGTCTTCCAGTCTCAGAGTCACAGTCCAGTCACAGTCTCTGTGGCCAGACTGGTGGCACTGGCATTAATGGGAGACACAACCTGCTTAGAGGAGGACATGGAGGGGATGCAGAGATGCAGACTAAACGTGTTACTTACAGCCGCTGTATGCTGCCTTTCTGCTTCAGATGAGATGTGTAAGACATTAATGAGACATGTCACATGGGGCCTGATGAAGTGTCAACATCATCAGACTGCAGAGAGTCAGCTCTCCATGTTTGTGGTGAAAACAACTGGAAGCTGTTGGAAAAGAGAGGGACTGACACTGAGGCGACCACCTGGGGAAAACCTGCTGTTGGTTTCAGTGTGAACGGGTCAACGTTTGCCGTTCAGCCCAAGTGTGTAGCCCGTCACATGACCGGTTTTTGACCCTGCTTGGTCAACATGGATCCTGAATTTTAGGCCAAAACCACAAAACGTATAAATAAAACAGGGAAGTAAAAAAAATGGACTTTGAAAAGCCTCACTGGCCTTTTTTTCTCTCAGACTTTTGTGTCTTCTCAGATCCGTTAATCCTAGAGATAAAGATTTATGATCCCAGATAAGTTCTAATTTAGCCTCTCTCCGTCTCCATCATCTCTCTGTGGACCTTGGAAGGTTCAACAGTGAGTTTACTCATTTACACATGCAGTGTACGCAATGAAGACCTGCAGCTCTCTGTGAGACTAATTTCTGTCAGGGAGGACAGGACCAATAATGGCAGCATTATTGTATTTTTCACCTTGTCTTTCCTGTCGTCCTATCATGATGCAGGTCCTAGCCCAGGATCTATTCTGCACATCATGATTCACATCTAGTTCCAACCTTCAGTGTCACAGCAGGATGTAGTGTGTCCTGTGTGGGTGTGGAGGCTGAAATGGTGGACAGGTGTTCATCATTTTTTACCAACCATAACTACAATCTTTCTCTAACCATGAAGGAATAGTTCAACATTTTGGGAAATACTTGTATCCACTGTCTTGCTGTGAGTAAAGTAAGACTACCGTAAGAAAACTGTGTCCCAGTTTAGGGTCTCATCCTTCAGAGGCATCTAAAGACCAATTAGGTCACAGTGGTGCGACTAGACTGTCCCATTTCAAAGGCTCCTTGAGATGTGTCCTTCTTTTCCTGGACAACGAAGGCTCCAACAGGAGGATCCTTCGAGCTCCAACATATCCCATGATTCATTGCGCTCCGGTAATGAAAACAAACAACAGTGACAGAGAGCCTGAGGAATACTGTTAAATGTTAAGTATTGTATTTCAGCTCAGTTCAACAAACCAAGAGACTTAAAACAACAAGTTTTAGTGACCAGACCATCTCATTTCTGTTCAGTCTTCATGGTCTACGAAGAACCACACTCAGTCTGACTGACCGAAAACATCGGAACCCGCTGCAGCTGTGTGCTAAACTGAAAACACAGAGCTAGCTTCTTCTTATAATTGAAGAGTTGGTGTGTGTGAGATCACACCTGTTCAGGTCTCAGGAATGAAAGCAGCACCATCTTCTTATTAGGCTCCAAGTCAGTGAACCATCAACATGATTCGAAGCTGTTGCTTTAAACCAGAAGATTAAAAGCACTCTCATAATTGTACGGTAAATAGGAAGCTACTGCATCCTTCCACATCTGGCACATTCCAGCTGTTATCCTTTGGTATTGGCTGACAGCAGGAAGATTTTCTTTGTGTGCACCAGAGTTGATCCAGATGTGTAAGTAACATCTGACAATCCTCCTGTATATGGGCCAGATCCGGGCTGTGGAACCGGATGCATGTGGCCCAAGTATGGTCCGGATTTATTTTACTATCTTATTTGTCATGACCTTAACCTAAACCATATTGTAGTTGCATAGTTTCATGTGTTGAGGTGTGGATGGAGTCTGTGGTGTCAATCAGATCATGTACACATGATAATAACAACAACAACACAAATACAAAACTAATGATTAATGGATTTTTGTTCATGCTAAACAATGACCTTCTACATATTTGCTCTTACATTAGCATCTGCACTAATTTACTAATTCAGTCAGTCTTATGTGGTGATTTTGACAACGTCACAGTTATAAAATCAGGATTTGACCAGAGGTCCAGACAAACACTATGTTTAGACCTAGTTTTGTTTTCCTTTATTATTATTTTGTTCATTAAATTGTTGTATGATGTCGTGCAGTAACTCTGCAGCTTTTTCATAAACATCTGTTGTATCAAATCATCTGGGGAAAGCTTTGGCAGCATCTATCATTCCACTCATGTTTCACGTCTCCAGACACACTGACAGTTAGAGAAGTGTCTCTTTGTGCTGATGAATGGATCATACTATAGTATGTGGATTTTACTATGGAGCCATGTCAACAGCTCGAGCTTGTATCTGTTTCAGCAGATGAATTGATGGTTCACCAAAAAAAACAAATCAAATGTGTGACGAACTCTTTAATGTGGCTGTTGAGTAGAACAGTAAAGTCATGAATCCTGGAGTTTGTGTCATCATGTGCTGCGAACTGAAGGTTTACATGGACACATGAACAAAGCAGGAATGTGGATGTGTACCCCCAAAAACAGCAAGTGCTTGATACACTGCGTTTAGCTAATTAACATCCCTGTGTTTGTGTTTCGACCTCACGGCTCGTCTCCAGCTGACGGCTACAACTCCTCTTTGTACCAAGTAAATCTTTACAGTCTGACAGTTTACCATGAGCTTGGCTAATTAGAAAAAAAAAATCAGGTGGGCTCTGTGGACTGGAATGTGGACCCTAGGTTTGGTCTTGAGAGCCCTTGACAGGAGATGATGTGGATTTTAAAGAGATAGTCTGTCTTTAAATCACAAACATCACAAGCTTGACAGGTTTAAGGCTGATTAGAGCTGGTATTCACTGAGCTTTTTTCTGCATTTGTGGGAAAATAGTTTAAAAAGCAAAACGGGGGGGGGCATGCTGTTGTCCCAGTATTCCTCTCTGAAGGGAGAGGATGTCCTTGTTTACGTGACACTCGCTACACACACACACACACACACACACACACACACACACACACATGCAGAGGGAAACACTGAGGCTAACACGTTAACAAATGCAGCAGTCAGTGTGCAGCTTGTGTCTTTAGCTGGGTTTCACCTCATCACTGTCAGGGCGTGTTAGCCGCTAACGGCTGCAGCAGTTGATCTAATAGCGCTCTCTGCAGCATGCAGCTCTTTTCCTCCCGTCCTGCAGACATGAGTTCATGTTTGAGCCGCATCTCTTTGACCTGAAACTTGACTGCACTTGAGAGGTCAAAACTGAGGACTCCGAGCTCAAAGCATGCGTTAAATACCCTCTACTCTTAATTATTAGCACTCTTAATTGTGTTGCCTGTTCTCATGCTGGTAGGTCAGCTTGGCATGAGATGCTGAACAGTTAGTTAGGCACGCCGGCACATATGATTTGACAGGGGGAAGGGCCAGCTGTTCTGATTGGCAGAATGATTCTGATTCTTCCTGAGTCTTTCTCCTGCACTGTAACAGTTTGACCCAACATGAAGCAGCAGAGTAAATCTGGCTGGAATTTCCCTGACTTCTCCATCTTAAAGCAATTTAAGCTCATGTTGCTACGCAGCAGTCAGTACTGGGCTGGGGCTGAACAATGCAGCCCAGCAAGGCCGTAGGCAGGGCCCCTGCTAAAGAAGTCTAATCTGTTAATCCACCCTGTTTTCATGTGGCTGTAGCATTTGTCAACCTGCTGCCTTTTCGCTTGACATGGGTTAGGATTGATCCGGCTCTGCACACAGGAGTCCTACCCTCCATCAGACCCCCTCCCAGTATGTCTCCAATAATGGAGGGAGAAAGCACACACCCCTCCACCCCCACCCCCTCCCATCACTCAGCCTGCATTCCTTCACTAATGAGCCCCCACCACCTCTACCACTCCTCCCCCTCACCTTCGTTAAGCCTGGTGTTGCTCTACCAAAAGACAAAATCCAAAACTGAGTTAAAACTGTAACGAGGTGCCATTAAATGACATCACACTAACACTAACAGGACGCAGTCAGAAAGCTATGACGCTAATTACTCACTTCAGTCTTTGTGCCTGTCATATTCCTGCATTGTAAAATGTTTCATGTATAATCATTCTCACATAGATTTGAGAGATTCACACAGATTTAAAAACCAATAGTCCAGATCAAAGCTGAGGAATCTTGTCCTACATTTTCATAATAACCAATAATATCTTGTAGGACCCTCTGGGTTTGGGAAAAGCTCATTTCTTTCAGTCAAGGTCTTTCATCTCAGCTGAGGCTGAGATAACCCTGATGACATCACTATGACATTACCAGGGTTATTTTCTGCAGATGACAATACACAAATGTTTTTACAGGCTGATTTTCCCCATTAAAAAACAAATTGACCTTCATGTGTAAAATTAGTGGAGCTCTGCTGATGTAGCTCACTGCACTGACTCCTGTACAACCATGAAGACTTTGTGAAAGAGGCTCTTTCATGACTAAACTGTTGTGTTTTCATTATTTTCTGTTCATCATGTAGACAGAATCCTGCCCCCAAGGCTCAGACATGAAGACACAGCTCATTAATGAAGACCTGGGACAAGGTTTTATTACAGGGGGAGTATTTATGTAGAAACCAGGTTTAATGTGTGCCTTGTCGCCACCTGTCTCGGTTTTCCTGGGATTGTTTTCTCTTTTCTGAGCGACTGTCCTGGTAAATTAAGGGTGTTTTTACACCTGCTCTCTTCAGATTGGTTAAACTGAACCCTGGTTCGTCTTCTTATGCAGGTGTGAAAACAGTAATCAGACCAAAACAATCACACTGAGACCCTCTGGAGGAGGTGGTCTCTGTCCAGTCCCAAACCAACTCTGGAGCGGTTCGTTTTTGGTGTGACAGAGTTCTGAACTGGATCCAACCCCACCAGCAGGGGAACTCACAAGTTTGAGTTTGATGGTTCCTGTACCCTTCTTCCTGTGTTTACTTTCCTGGTCCAGACAATCTGACCAATCAGAGGAGTGAACGTTTTCACCTGGTTTATAATGATGCATTTTGGTTCACTCGAATTTTACTCTGTGCAAGAACAAACCAAACCTACACCTACACCTTTAGAAACTCAACTGAACCAGACCTGAGCAAAAAGCTGTAGGTGTGAAAAGGCCCTGATATTCTTTCCCAGGACAACAATTGTGCATTTCTAATTTCAAATTTCAGAGTTTCAAATAAAACCTAATTTGTTTCCTTCTACTGCTTTTCTGTTTTCTTCCTGGTTATGTCCAATCCTGTGTCTGTAAGCTGATTAAAACAGGTACAACAGCGCTCAATATACCTTATCACATAGCAGGTGCCACCAATGAATTTGGTGACCTGACAGCTGAGTGGTTAGGGTGCATGCCAAGTTTTAGTGTTGCGAGTTCCTGGTTCGACTCCCAGCTGGCTGAACACTGCATGTCATTCCCCCGCTCTCTGTCAGTGTCTACTGCCCTGTCAAATACAGGCAAAGAATTCCACAAAAAAAAACAACCCCACCCTGAATTAGGGCTGACTAGGGTCCTAGCTAGAGTGTCCTGGTTTTTCACACATCAAAGGTAGCAACCCTAAACTGATTTGAAACCACCACATCACTACAGTTTGATACTGAAATGGCCAGAAGAGATATAGATTTCAAGAGAGTAGAGATAGAAATTTTAGATGTGTGAGCAGTATCTGAGCAATGAAGCTGGTGTTCGCGCTGTGGTTTGACTCATTTGTTCACAGTGTAATTACAGAGTTCAGAGTTTTAATAAATCTGCTGTTTAACAAACACATGATCTCTGTCTGTTTTTATGGGGAAACATGACAGTAAAAAAACACCAGTGAGTTGCTGGTGATAACTGTGTGCCCTTCTTCTTTCTCTTCATGTGGACAGTGCTCAGCACATGTGGGAAATCAATCCATTGACAGAACAATACAGCTCCTGAGGCTAGATCAGAGCTGCTCTAGCTGTGCTGCCATCATCACAACTGGTGATGGATCATTCAGAGAGGAGGACATCTTACTTCTATTAGAAACGTTTCCTCACATCTCCTCTTCTGTCCCTACTCGGAGGGACTAAGATGAAAGAAAAGGGAACATGGGAGCCATTAAGGAATTGGGATGAATCCATTGTCTCAGTTTTCATTGGTGCAGCGGTATTTACATGGATTTCAATGTTGGTGCGGCCCATCTTATCAACCGCTGTTCAATATGAAGATGCACTAAACTCTTGAGATGTTTAACTGAGGACGGAGCAAATTTTAACCTTATTGTGCAAATTTGACCTTTCAAGTGTTTTTTTGTCTGTCCATGTTTATTCACCCCAATCGGCTAGCTAGCAATGTAGCAAGCTTTAATCTGTCAGACTTGCTCATGCTTCCCTGTCAAATCAGGATTTTAATAAACATTGTGGAGTAATTCTCTGTCTGCCAGATCAAAATTTGACTGTGCAGTTCATCTGTGTAGCTGAATTCTGAAGTGAGAGCTATCTCCACTGTACACCAGCCTGCACTTGCCTCATGTTGGAGCTGTGAGGAATGTCTGCTCAGGCTGCTGTGTTTGGCTTCCTGTTTAATAAGGAAGCAATGAACATGGCTGCCAAGGCTCTGTCGTCATACATGACAGCCAAAGGCCAGTTGGTGATATAGGAGTCTTATGAATTATGTTTTTCTCAGAGGGTTAAACAGGCTGGTGTTCAAAAGAGGGGAAGCATGGGGTTATTTTTCAGGATAATTTTCCTTCCCTTCTTTTGTTTCTCTACAATACAAATGGATTTATTATTCATGGAAGTCCAGCAGGGGTGAGACTGATGGAAGAGACAGTTCACAGTGTACCTTCATGTTTATTCATCCTCACATGGCTTGAATAAATATCAGGTAATTGATATCCAGGTCTGATGTTTTAAATTCAGACCTTAAGAGTTGCTCATGTGCAGTTCCCTGTTGCCTCCTGCAGATCTTTGGGGAGACTGAGCCAGTCCGGATGACGTCCGAGGGCTCGGACTGCCGCTGTAAGTGCATCATGCGTCCTCTAAGTAAGGATGCCTGCCTGCGACTGCGGAGCGGCAGCGTACGCGTGGAGGATTTCTACACAGTGGAGACGGTCAGCTCTGGATCCGACTGTAAGTGCTCGTGCACAGCCCCGCCCTCCTCCCTCAACCCCTGTGAGAATGAGTGGAAGATGGAGAAGCTGAAGAAACAGGCACCTGAGTTACTGAAGGTGAGCACATGGAGCGTAAGATTAATGTGGTCATGGGTTCAAATTATTCTGATGATTTTAGTTTTTGTCTGGAGGATAATTACAAAAACTCCATCTTCAAATGTGCCTCATCTTGCATTTCTTTTTGCTTTAAACACGTTTGATCACTTGGAGTCGCCGAAGAATAAAGGAACTATTTGGAAGTTTTGCTATTGCTACATAGCTAACGTTAGCATTAACAGCTGTTTACTTACCAGTCTAGATCAGTGGTTCTCAAACTTTTTACACCAAGTACCACCTCAGAAAATACTTGGCTCTCCAAGTACCACCATAATGACCAACACTATACAGTAGCGTAGTAGGCCTAAGCATTCATCAAAAACAAGGCAGAGGTTTTATTCCTAAAGAAGTATATTTAATATTGTCAGCCAGTGTAACATTTTACACAGTTTGAACAGTAACACTGCGCTTAAATATAGGAAAATAAAAAAAATTGTTCTTAAATAATGATTCAATTAAAATATATTGCACATAAAAGTAAAATAAACATTGTACTTAAATAAATGTAAAAAAACAAAAAACAGTTCTTAAAGATTAAATAAAACTGTACTGTACTTGATTAAAAAAATCAAAACAGGCTGTCTGAACTTCACACACTGCTGTATGGCTGCTTTCTGAAACAGAAACACACACAAACACAGAGGAAGAACAATAAGATTAAGAATAAAACAAAAGTGGGGGAGAGCATTAAGATTAACAGCTGTACTTAAACATACACAGACAATTGATGACAATTTACATGAGCTTAATGTGATGGGTGTGTGTGCCTCTGTGAACACAGTCCTGCAACATCTGTAGTCTCATCAAGCTGTATGGCAAAATACCGACTGTTCTTAATGCGCTCAATCAGTGTGTTTTTAACATCGCCAGCCATGTCTTTTATCCTCCTTGACACGGTGTCATTGGAAAGTGGCACCAAGTTTAACTCTCTGGCAGCTTTCTCTCCGCACATGATCTGTGTCATCTCTTTGGCTAAAGGTAAACACAACTGTTCCCCAATTGTGTGCGGCTTACCGGCTCTTGCGATCCGGAGGCTGGCACGATATGAAGCTTCCTGTGCTTTGGCTATGGGTGTACCAAAGGACTGAATAGTGGACTTTGACTGTTTCAGTTCATCACATTTTCGTAAAAAAAATTCCACTGGTTTGTCGTTAAGTTCCCTGTGTTTGGTTGTAAGATGCCGTTTGAGATGCAATGGTTTCATGCATTCGTTGCTCAAAACGTCGCCACATATCACACACTGCGGCCTGGGCTCTTCCTCTCTCCCGCTCCAAATAAATCCAAATTTGATATATTTTTCGTCATATCTCCTCACTGGTTTGTGCCTTTTGTTTTTGCTAGCAGCTGCTCTGGGGGCTTCACTGGCGCCACCGCTGTTAGCACCTGCACCCTGCCCACACTCGTCCTCTTCAGTTCTCGCTCTCTCCTGGTCCACAGTTCCCTTCGCAGACTGAAGCCACGACAGTAGTTTAGTACTCTTCATTATTAAAAACCTCCACCTCTTGCCATTAATTCTTTCCTGTTAGCGTGAATAACTGTTGATGTCAACGCATTTATATTTATTTCAGTGATTCTTTGGCATACCACTAGAGGGAGCCCCGCGTACCACTAGTGGTGCGCGTACCACACTTTGAGAATCACTTGTCTAGATGAAACAAACTTCATTCAGCTGTCTCCAGAGGTGGAAATAAACACCAATTATTACCTCTACTGAAGTTATCATGCTAACCAGCTAGCTCCAGCCTGATACTGACTCACCTTAGCCTCCAGTCTGTCCTGAAGATGTAGCTGCTCAGAGGACATATTACAGCCTCTTGTTAAGTAGTAATCTATGAAAGTGTAATGCATTGACTTGAGAAAAACAATCTGCCCTGTTTTATAAGATATTTATCTCAGAATTCTGAATTTTATTTTCTCAAGTGAATGCATTAGGCTTCCATTGTAATCTCCACTATTCTGACTTAACTATATTGTTCACTATCACTGAATAAACACAACCTTCAATTCAGTGAAGTCTGTCCACTAATTAATGAATGTCACCAGACATGTGACAGCTTTAATACCCAGTAGCGCGGCCTAGAGGCAATAGTGTTTATAACACCTGAGAATGAAAATGTTTCAGCAATAAAAACACAATTCAGCAGTGAGACCTGAGCTGTGTGTCATCAGTATGTGATGTGAACACGTCAGCAGACCTCTGCACTCACCTAAAGCACACGTTCATTGTTCACAGGCTACGGAAGCAGAAGCTCGGTATGTACCATATGAAACCAGAGGCAGCTTCAGATGTTTGATCTGACTGCACTTTAACCTATAGATCAACCAAATGCATCTCTTAAGGAAATGACTGTGTTGAAAAGGAAAGAGTGAAAGTAATCAAGATGGACCCAGGCTGAGGATGTCAATAGTGGGAATCAATCAATTATCTGGGAGGTTAGGTCAGATATTACTGTTAAACTAAGGCACATGAAGCTGTCAGGGCTTTGTCAGGAGATGGTCACTGACGCTGATTCTTTTATGAGCAGCTCCAGTCGATGGTAGATCTGCTGGAGGGAACTCTGTACAGCATGGATCTCATTAAAGTCCACTCCTACATCAACAAGGTGATGTCGCAGATGAACACTCTGGAGGAGGTAGGAAACATAACTCCTATAATATACTATTTATTTTATGATACTCAGTGGCTTGTTGTTGTAGAGAGAGGCCACTTTGAAATAACAGCTGATGCTGTTTGATGGATGATGATCACTTATCTCACAGACAATCAAGACCAACCTGACGCGGGAGAATGAGTTTGTGCGGGACAGCATGATGAGCCTCACCAACCAGTTTAAAAGATACGAGAACTACTCCAACATCATGATGAGCATCAAGAAGGAGATCTCCAGCCTCAGCCTGCAGCTGCTACAGAAAGACAAAGCTCAGGTTAGAGAGCAGCTGTATGTACATTACAACAGCACGAGAGGCGCTGTAGTCTGGAGATGTTTGTTCTGTTCTACTGAACTTGTCTCAGTAAAGTGGGTGTTCCGATGCTGATCTCATTTCTTTAGTCTGTGGTCATGATCTGGCCCATAACCCACACCCCCCCATTAAATTTAAGTTCCCTTCAGTTTTGTTTAAATCAGCGAGACTCAGAGGCTGGCAACAGAATTTGCCTTTGGACAGAGCAGGTTAGCTTTCTCCTAATATCCTGTCTTTATGCTAAACTAAGCTAATTGACTGTTAGATGAAAAAATCAATACCACTTTTATGGCTAACTCGCAAGAAACCAAATAAGCATATTTCCCAAAATGTCAAACAATTCCATTAAATTACGTGTAGCCAATATTTATATATTTACAATGGATCAAATGGTTGTCAGCTGTGATAAACCTGGAGAAGTTATCACCAACTCTGAGGAGGAGGTTAAGTAGCTGTCGTAGTGTTCTAGTCTGACATCAAACTTGGAAGAAAAGAAGAAGGCAGGAACAGTAAACAATCAATAAAAAATAGTAAAAGATGTCTACAGTTCTGTTCCTTTAGTCATTACAATATTAATAATTCAGTGATTGTATTTTTCCTAAACACGAAATATTCTTAGTTTAATGTGTCAGATGAGACGTGTTGAAAAGCTTTTATTACAATATAACGATGAGTAATTATCAGTTTAAGGCAGAGAGAGTTATCAAGTTCGGTTCAGTATCCACTGCATAAGCCAGTGACAGTTATCATGTGAATGTTAAATACTAAGTTTAGTTTTAGTTTATTAATTTGATAGAGATAATGCCACAATTGCACAGAGAGTTTATAGATGTTGCTAATTCTCCATTCCTGTCCCTAGTTGGACTTATACATGTCTAATGTAATTATAACAGTCAATAGCAAAAACAACACAATTGATACAGTAATCTAAAAATATACAGATGTTCAGTCTATAGATAGACAACAACAACAACAACAACAAGCTAGAGATGAGAACAGCTCTGGTTGGACTTTTGTGCTGAACCTTTCTTGTAAATGAATTTAAGTTGATGTCATTTCAGGTGGTGATGTGTTCACTTATTTTATGGAGAAAACTGATTGTCCAAATTTAGATCTACAATGCGATATTCTGGGGCTGAACTGTTAATAATTTATAGATTAATTAGAGAACGAAAGATGAATAAAGCTCAGAACTGAGTAGATTGTTTTCAGTTTGTGACAGTGATGTCATCAGACAGGCTTTTTTTATTGGGCGAAGTGGTTAATGATTTTGTGTTCAGACACTGAGACATCTCTGATGCTAATGATCATTAGCTGTGTAGAAGACATTCAGCTGCAACTTTTCATTTTATTGAATCAGCTGTCACTAATTAATGTTGATTCAGTAACTTGATGACAGGCTTGTTTTAAACTGATCCTGCACACCGCTGATGTCACTGTCAAAGTTTGTGAGGCAAGAAGCTCCACTCTGTGAGTTAGTGAGTCAGGTGATCAATGATGGACACTGACATTAATTGACCCAACCCTTGTGGCAGCAAGTACTGGTGCAACAACAGGTCGAGGTGGATCAAGGCTTGAGGAAGAGAAACACGTTGTATGGAGATATTTTACATTTAATGCCAGTGTGTGAACAGTGTGTGAACAATTCTACCGGGGTCGGGCCAATAGACGACCTTTCTCATACAGTCAACATACACAACACTCAAGCTAGTGTTAGCCTGTATCCTAACATGGTGCACTGTGAACATTAATTTTGCAGGACACTAATGATGACAAAACCAAGGTGCCTGTGAAACTCCCCAACAAAAAGACTCCTGCAGCCAAACCTCCTCCCAAAGCAGCCAAAGAGAAGGTCGTAAAGCCCAAGAAAGAGGTCATTAAACCCGGGAAGCTGCTCAAGCCTGACCCCACAGCCAAAGCCAAGGTGATTGGCCACCAGCCCAGTGTGGTAAGGGGCATCACATACTACAAGGCTGCCAAGACCAGCGACGACCACAGAGAAGGTGAGAGCTTCCAGCCTGACTCTCCAGCACACTGGTGTGTTCATAGAAAGCCATCCTCTCCGAGCTAAAGAAAACACTGTGCTCGCACTTTAGCTGAGTTTGCACTCCAATCTGTGTGCGATCATCTGTGTGTGATCCCCTGTGGGTGTTGAAAATGATCCAAATGAGTTTCTTTGCTGGACCAGGATCAGCCGGCAGCCGGCTTTGCTCGTCTTACAAACACAGAGAAGATCTTTAGTAGCTGGATTTAGTTTCCAATAAAGCACAGAATGAAGGTTTCCTGACAATGTTATTTTAATGTGATTGTGCTGCTAACTTTACTCATCCGCTTGAGGCAATGAAACAGGATGCATAGCAGTGTGGCACACAGGATACCTCAATACTACTTTTACTCTGCTGTTGTTTTAGGTAAAGTGGCTCCAGTCAGCTGTTGCTGGTGCACATTCAACGAGCAGGAAATCTTAATGTGTTATTGACTGAATACATGGAGCTTGTGGAATGCTGTCTCAATGCAGTACTGCCACGTCTATGACATGCCTGGGCTTCAATGCTCAGTACAATGCGTGGGGACCCTCACCAACGCAGAGAAAACATTTCCAAGCTCCTTCCAATCCTCTTTAAGTCTAGTTGAATGAATAGGTATGCTGCGTTTATACAGGGCACACGCACATGAAGCTGTCAGACCATGTTCAACAACGTAGGTGAAGCCCACAGACCTGTCACGTCAGTGGAACCAGTCAGCTGCATTTCCATGATCTCTGGCACAGAGCAGGATGCACAGACCTTTATTAATATTCATATATACATCCAGGGAAGGTGAACACACCTTCATGCTTCCTCCTCTCTTTTTAACTTTAGTTACAGTGACACAGATGCTGTACCTGCTGCACTCATTTCAGTAGCCTTGAATCAGAAACCATGTGGAGAGATACACACAATACAACAGTCAATGTAAGATTTAAAAAGAGATTAAACGGTTTCACACTAAATCACAGTAAAAATGCCAGACGACTCAAGTGAATTTTTATTTGTATAGCACAAATTCACAACAGAAGTTATCTCAGTGCACTTTTCAAATAATCATATCATTTACAGCGATACAACACTTCACACCAAGAGCAACAAAAAACTTTTAAAAAAAACCTAAATAATAATAATAATAATAATAATAATAATAATAATGATGATACATTTGGTGTTCCCTTGTTTACAGAGTGGGCATACAGCAGACAAACCCAGCACATCCCTTGTCCTCATGTGTGACACAGATGTGTTAGACATGTTATTAATGTTTTTACAAAATGTGCTGCTAATTATTTATTTGTGGTTTCCATTGCATGTTAATATTTTTCAAACATTTACAGCACATTTTATGATATTAAATTTTTATACAGTTTCATCTCTAGATTGAAATGAAGGCCTTTGTATCCAGTATGAATCTTTGCAGAGGTCCTTATAAAGTCTAGAAAAGAAGCACAATAATGCAGAAATATTCTACCATACAACTAGAATTGTTTAAAAACTACTGATTTGCCATTTGATATATAAAGTAATAAAATGACTAAAGTGATTCCTGAGATAAAATGACTGTGACAGATTTGCTGTTTAACTGTGGATCAGAGTTACGTTTACTGCCAGGTACACATTCAACTTATTCATCATCTTAATGGCTTTCTGAAGACTCCTACTGGTAATTGTTAAAACCTTATGTAAATATTATTTCTACTGCAGCCTTCATCAGGTCCATATGTTCAGAGTACGCGTGTCAGGAAGATCCACTGCTGATGTATAAATGTTGTGATCTCATCACATCTGTGTGGCAGCACAGGAAGGAGGAGAATGAGGAGCAGAAGGAGAGCAGCCTCTCCTTGGCTGTCTGCTAAAAGAACCAAAGTGATTATTGAAACCTGAAACCACAAAAAAAGATGTTTTTTTTTTCAAAAAGTGACAAACACTCAGTTTCACTGAATTTGATCTAAAAGCTTTGAAACCATCAGAGGATGCTAATCCTTCAGTGGACTTTAAATTAATGAGGTCATAGATGTGACATGTCCAGCCACATCTAAAGGTAAAGCTGTTTACCTGTTCCAAATTGGCAGATTTAACCCTTTAATGACTGTGACAGTTAGCCATCTTGAAAGGGGTGAGATGTCATGAGCACACTATAAAAAAGAACAAGCTGGTTCAACTTGAAATAATTTGTAACCTGCTGACAAACTAAGAAACTTCAGTAGTTTGCACAAATATTCGAGTTCCTTAAACTTAGAATAAATAGTTGGGGTGACAAAGGTGAAGCTAAATAAAAACTTTATACTTTCAGTTTAATCAACAAGGTTTTTTAGTGATACCAAGACGGCATTTCAAATTGTACAAACCTAAATCCTAGTTGAGAGAACAAAACCAGTCAAAACAATAAACTTGTATTGAGTTCTACAAATACAAAAATAAAAGTGGTTTAGATTAAGCATCTTGTTGAATCAATTTATAACTTTTAGTTGTGCCAAAATAATATAAATTGGCTTAACTGAGCATCTCATTTTTTTAAGGCAGCCAGGTTACTTTTTCAGGAATAGTTCATCTAACTTGCAATGTTTAGTTCATTGACAAATTGAAGTGTATAATTTACCCACGCAACTTTAAGTTTCTATTTCTTAACAGTATTGATACATCGACATCATAGAATATTCTGAATACTTTTTTATCAAATTTCAGAACTGACACTGGCCTTTTTGGTATGAACTACCACTTAGTACAACTTACATGTTTCGAAGCTATTAACATTTAGTTAACAAACCTGTTTGCAAAATATCCGTTGTACTGTGTTTTTACCATAGAAGAACAACTTGCAAGGTATAAAAGTACAAACTGTTATATGCATATGGCTTTAAGTGCTGTAGTTATTGCACAGTATGTTACATTGTTAATTGCATAGACTTTTTTCTTTACAAATAACATACTCACCTGAAAGACACTGATGATGTTGCGCTTGATTGTTTACATGAAGAGTGCGGCAGGTTATAAGTGTATGATGCAGCTCATGAGCCAGTTCATGCAGCTAAATCAACTTCCAAAGAAGAGATAGTTTTCAGCTGTTTACAGATTTATTACTTTTAAGGTCCATATAGTCTAAAGGTAGATGTCCATGTGTTGTTTGATTATAAAGCAGGTCTAGGTTCTATATTAATATTGTGAAAGTATCAAAGCGCTCAGTCCACAAAGAAATGCCTAAAGCCTGTATTCAGAAACTGAGCCTTAAAACCACCCGTCAGGAATTCTGGAACTTTGCGATGTCACAACAAAGCAGTCACCAAGTTTCGTCTACCTGGACCCATCATCCAACCTTGCAGGATTTGGTTTCTCTGAGTGTTTACCTGAAATCTGCTATATTTTTATTGGATCCCTCAGAAAACAGTCAGCCAATCAAAACAGGGGCTCAGAGCCTCCTCTCTTCTGATTGGCTCACCGACCTGTTGTTACTAGAGCTCCAGAAAGCCTGAGAGAGGAGATGTAAAACTACATTGAGATGATTTTTGGTTCTTAAAACCACAAATATATCCTGTTATGGATCAACACTTCAAATAAAACACAGAGGAAGAGGAAAATATGGAGCTTTAAGTCTCAGTGTTATCGAGTCTTTGACTTTCTGTCATAGTTTTCACTGACAAATGAACAGCAGCTTTACTTTAAGGATATTGAGTTCTTAACACTTGATATAATACAATAACTTTTTTAACTGTAGTTTTTACAAACTGGCCCTATGTTTGTCAAAAGGTGAACACTGCCTCAGTGAACTCCACCAAGGAGCAGACGGGGTTAAACAGTTCAGAGAGGAGAGGCAGGAAGCCGGTCTTCTTTGTTTGCTGCATCGATAATGTAGCGTCTTTGATGTGGACTTCTGGAGCACAGCGGACTTTGAGAAGTCTCATAGAGTCTGTAGGAGAGCCACATATGCAGAGACACAACACTTCACAACAAGAGCAAGAAAAAACTTCCTTTTAAGGGGCAGAAACCTCGAGCAGAACCCGACTCAGGGTGGGCGGGATCATCTGCCTCAACCGATTGGGTTTGGAGAGAGAGAGAGAGAGAGAGAGAGAAAAAGAACGAGAGAGCAAAGGAAAAGAACAGCATGCAATGATAGTAATATTGATAATAGTGATAGTAGCAGCAGTAACGGCAATAATAATAATGTAATGGTAACTGTAATGCTCCTACTGATATAAGTAACAATGAAAGCTAATAACAGTAATTATAATTATAAATCATAGTAAATTTAGCAGCAGGTGTTGAACTGGATCATGGGGGGAGGGCATGTGTGGAGCTAAGACTTTGGTGCATGACAGTTTGTGGCAAGCATTCGCTCACCCACCTGTCACTTAAAGAGGCCACGCCCTCAATTCTCCATAACTTTAAGCCTTAATAAGATGTAAACAGGTGAGTTATATAAACAGTTGTCATGAAGGAGGAAATTAGCTATTGAGACCAAAAATGTTTTTGTACCAGGCTATGAACATGTTCTGCTCTAAAGTTGGACATTTTAACATGGGAGTCTATGGGGATTGACTCACTGTTGGAGCCAGACTCTAGTGTGCATTAGAGGAACTGCAGCTTTTGGTTCTTAAGTGTTGATGCTACATGTTTCAGTCTGGAGGTTGATGCTTGGTTTGCAGTTGCAAAACTCTAACCCCCCACCCCAACCCTCACCCCCAGACCACTCTGCCAAAGCGTACTCAGTCCACCATGTCACAGAGAGCCAGTCTGAGGACGGAGCTGAGATGGTCCTGGAAACCATGAAGGCCACTGTGGCTGAACCCGTCACCAACACCGCAGCCGCCACCACTACAACTACCACCACCACCCAAACTACTACCACCACCACAACCACCATTGCACCCACTACTATCACCACACAGAACACAGCAGCATCTGAGAGACCGGCGCCGACCATAGTCCTGGTCCTGGACAACTCGAACAACAACAGTCGTCCCACTCTGCATAGAGCCGGTACGTCCTAAACACCCCTCAGTTAACACAGTGTCCTGCTGCAGTAACAGAGGACAAGAGTGTGTAGGTTCACTCTCTCTCAGGTGTGCAAGTTAAATCCTCGACTGGTTTTGTTTTCAGGGAAGATCCTGAACTGTGAGGGGACTCTGGCGTCCATTGAGCAGCCAGAGAAGCAGCACAGTTATGGGAGGAACGAGGGAGCCTGGATGAAGGATCCTCTGGCTAAAGACTCCAAGATCTATGTCACTAACTATTACTATGGCAACAACCTGGTGGAGTTCAGGAACCTGGACAACTTCAAACAAGGTGTGCTTCATTCAGGTCTTTCTATGAAACCCCATCGGCCATTAACCAGTGGATGTTTAAGGTTTGATTGGATTACAACTGTTGATGGTGCCTGTGTTTGATGGTGATGTGATGATGGTTCAATTTCACTTTCAGTTGTCTCATTGCTGAATAGGACTCACGTCAAACAGTCACCTTTATGTTACTTCATTGAATTATTAAATAGTGGCACTTTTATAGTCTTAGCGACCTCACAAAGACTTTTACATACTTTACATAGCCCAGTTTTCCTACATATATATGGCCAGGGTCGGAATTTCACGGCAGCCATGGCCCCTCCCTCTGGCTGTGATGCTCTGAAAAATATTGTATGCCGTAAGGCTACCACGAGCTTTGTGGCTTGCTCCTGTCCTAATATTGAGCATCACTGCTTAAATCAGTGTCATTTTCCCATTTACCCGCTGCTGCCTCTGAACACTTAATGTGCAGGTTTAGTTTCCCCACACGTCTGTGCACTCGTATGATGCTGGAATATCATAACTGATCTCAGAACAGTAGAAGCTGAGATACGGACAGATTGACGAGCTCCTGTCCTTATCAACAGGACACAGTCACGCCCATGGAAGTGACAGAAACTATAGACACAATATTGAACTTTAATAAGTTTACTGTATAAAATGATTGATGTGAGTCACTTGAAAACTGTTCTTACATTCACCTGCTGAAAGTTTTTCTGAAATGAAATATATTTACATATTTATTGATTCTGGTAAATTGATACATGATCACATGATGAACCTTAAAACATGTCTTTTTCATTTATATTAAGTGAAGAATTTATGATTTTCATGTCACTTGTGTTGTTGTTTTTTCTAATTACCAAAGACGGAGATAACGCCGTTTTAGGTTTAAAAAGCCCACCCTTTACTACACTTTTCTTCAGAATCACTTCAGAATACACTTTTATCTGCATCAGTCAGTCTGCATCATGACTCATGTGGACTCATGGGACAACAGACTAACTGTTATTAATATAGAGAGCAAACCACTGTATAACCTTATCTAATCCACTCAGAAAAACAGGCAACAGCTGAGCAATGGAACATTTTCTGTCCAGGCAAACTGAACCTCATCACTACTTGCACCTGGGTTGATGAAGTCAGCGTGACTGTGTACCTGTCTCTTCATGTAATCTGGTTCCAAAACTGAAAGTGTAGGTCTGACCACGCTCTGAAAGCCATAACAAACATTACGGTTGGGTTCATGTCATAGTTACAGACTGAGATGTATCTGTCTTTGAGTATCTGACTCATGTCCCAGTGTATTGGTCTAACTGTGGAATCACCGTGGTTTAATTGATAGCTGTGTTTTCTTTGATAACGCTGCTGACACTGATTCATGCTGAAGATCCAGTGAGCTCAGTGAGACTGATGAGATCTGAGGAAAGCAGGTCTGGGTTGGTGGGAAAATCAACTTCTTCCACCTCCAGATCCACGGAGGAATAGGATTACACCCTCGAAGAGAGTTAAGATGATCTTGGCTTGTTGATGTAGATGTGTTTGGACAACCGGCTTTCTTACATGTGAGGCGTCCTGCAGGGCGGGGGCTCACAGCTGTGCGTGAATGACTGAGGGTCTTGGTGAGTGGCCGGTGATGCCTGCTGTTCCCTGACGTGCTCTGTCCTTTCCTTTCAGCTTGGCACGGTGGAGAGGGATTAAGAGTGTGGGCCGGCCGAAGAGATGGGGATGGGGATGATGGTGGTAGTGTGTGTGTGTGTGTGTGGCGGGGGGGGGTTCTGCTGCACGTTGTTTTTGTCTTTCACTAGGCTTTTCATTTATTATCATTATGTGAATCAGACTTCCTGAGGTTAGAAGGTTAGGACAGCAGAGAGGATGTGAGTAGAAAATGACACCTACAGTCCACCATATGTTTGTTCAGGATCTAACTCCTGAACAAACTGTGTCACTGTCACATGAAGCTAGTGTGTACACAGTCTGGCATTGTGAAAACATATTCATTGGCTCTGTGAGGGGCATACTGTTAGCATAGCATACACAAACCGAATGTATCCAGCTCCTAAAGAGTAAAGATAATGTATAGAGACATCATCCTGCTCATTACATAACTCACTGTTGGAAAATTAACACACATCAGTCATTTCAACTGTTTAAACTGATATTATTACAAGTTAAATCTGCCACAGGTCAACCTCCAAGGACCAACTCATAGAGCTGCGAAGTCGTGTTTCTCAGGCCTGAACATTTAAACTAGATTTCTTATTATGCAGAATAATAATGCATGCCTTCAATGCTATTGCATTGAAGGCATGCATTATTATTCTGCACACTAATGCTGCAGCATTCACACTATTGTTCTTCAAATCTTTATATTTTATTTTTTCTGTGGTCTCTAACTACTCCTTCATACTTTTTGTACAAAATCCATTCAACTATCAAAACGTTTTTTTATTCATAATCATAATAATCATATTCAAAATATTATGCTTTTTTATATTTTTTATTTATTTTTTATTACGTTGCAATTTTTTGCCATTCAAATGAATATAGAGAATGTTTAAATCCTTGAAATTTTCAACCTCTTTAAAATTCAACTACTTCAGCATACTTTCAGCTACAGACTTCATTCAAACTTTAAAATGTTCACAAGAAATTCAGCTATTAAACTTGTATTCAACTTTTTGATATCTTGTACAGTTTTTGGATCGTCACAGTTTTAGTTTCATGCTTTTTTCAGATCATTCTTGAGTTTATAATGGTTGTGTATTTCACGGAATATTCAGGGCTAGCGTGGATGACTGTGTAATCCGTGTAACTCATCCTTACAGCCACATTCGGTGGACACACATAGTTTCTTCCTTAAAAGTAGACCAGATTGTCCTGTTTCATACAAAGTGTCTACCATATCAAAGAGACGAACAGATTTGAACTGGGAGCCTGAAATTGATGGGAGTAACCTCCAACTGTCCCATACAAATTCACAAATTCAGGAGCTGATTTCAGGATAAACCCAGACCTGACCCTTTTTTGTAACTCGCTACTATTTCCACATTTTTTCACACACATACACACACACATGCACACACATGCACGCACACACACACACACACACACACACACACACACACACAAATGGACACATAGAGAGCTAGATGGGTAGACAGACAGATAGGCAGATAGACAGGCAGATAGACACAGTTTCGTTCAGGAAAGATTTGGCTGTTAATTTCAGCTTGATATCTAAGTGACTCCACATTACATCACTCATAGTGATTGGTGGATTACCTTTAACCAGTGTTTTCCAAGTGCTACCTTTTTCAGAGATAAAGAAAGGTAGGCAGCCAGACAGACGGGCAGTATTGTCACCATGGCAACCTCTGAGTTTATGGAGGGAATCCACAGCTAGGTCAAATGACCTAATTAGAGACTCCTCTGATATGTGTTTATGAACCACTTTACTGACATTTCTATCAAAATGCCTCTACAGACTGCTCCAACACTAAATACAATGATTTAAACACCTCTAAACTGTTTTCACTGGAAATATGCCTCAGTCCAGTTGTAATCAGGAAGCATTCGGCAGTTAATTTCAGTTTGTCACTGTAACTGACACAGAAATAGACATAAATACAGACAAGCAGAGAGGCACACAGACAGATAAAAGGCACACAAACAATCACAAACAGACACACACACACACACGCACACAAACAGATACACGTGCGCGAACACACACACACACACACAGAAAGCTTTTTACATGTTAGTACTCATAAAGGGAGACAACATGAAAACAACAGTTCTCAGCTTTTGCAGCTAATAGAGTTCAGCTCCTCCAGTTTAACATTTTGGCATCTAACTTTTCAATGCGCTGTTCATCAGTTAATATGAGATGCTTTTTCAACTATTTTAACATTGTGTCAGTAATCTCCTTCAGGCACATTACGAGTTTTGATTGTACATTTCTTCTTTCTTTGGTTTTTATTTTCAACCAATTTAGGCCATTTGGTTCTCAACTAACCTGGTTTTTCATTTTGTATATTTTGTACAGTTTTGTGCTGTGTTACACCTTACAGTAACTATGCAGGTCTTTTTCAACCATTTCAGGACATTCAACCTCCAGCTTTCAAGTTCTGCGTTTAATCTTCAGCTATTGCTTCAGCAGTTGCTTCAGCTACTTCAGCCATGCTTCAGCTTCTTCAGCATTGCTTTAGCAATCTCATTCAAATCTCAGCATTCACACGCGTTTTCCTCTCTGTGCATGATGTTTTTATTGCTAGAAATGGATTGCTACTATGAGCTAATTATTGTTTCCCACCAACTAAACAAACTTGACAGCTTTCAGACAATGGGCTTAACAAAGCACAGAGACTCACAGAATTTAAATTGTGCCCTTTCAAAGTGGCAGGTTACCATCTAGCCCCATTCACTCTAATGTAAAATGAGAGCAGAAAATCAGGAGGAAACAGAAAAGGAGGCATTTTTAAAATCGCTGCATAGGCCACATTTTTGGCACCACAGACAAACATTTTATATGACTGCGATCAGCAAAGTCTCCTCTCTCAGAAAATCTAAACATTCATGTGATAAGAGTTACGATATTTTACTGACAAGCCTCAGTTCAAGAGGTATATTTCAACTGAATCTCTGTCCCACTCAGTAAAATCTTAGCAGTTAAAATCAACAGGGCAACCTCTGAGTGCAGGAAAGGGGCTACAGAGGTGGGTCAAATGACCTGATTAGAGACTCCTCTGATATCTGTGGTGATTATCAACCACTTTAGTGACATTTCTGTCAAAAGTCCAGCTACACACTGCTCCAGCACTAAATCAGACAATGATTTACACACATTTCAACTGTTTTTACTGTTGTCCTTCCTCATTAGTAGATGAATTTGTCCTGTTTCATACAAAGTGTCTACCCTAGCACAGAGACTAACAGAATTTGAAATTTGACCCTCTAAGTGATGCGATCACCCTCCAACTCTTCCATATACTGCAACAC